CGGGAGGTTCTGGCACAAAGGAATGTCTGGCCGTTTGCTTCTCAACTCGATATAAAGGTCGAAGGACCGACCGACCAAAACCCATGATCGAGCCCCTATGTCGTAGGTTGTATAAAAAGTTGGATTGTACTGAAATGTGCATACAGTGTGTACATATCGTGAGGTTGTGTTCTTTAGAGTGAGTTTTGACTGATTGATGATCATCTTCGAAAATCACAACTTACGCATATCTTGCCCATACACTACACATGTGCTTAACAAGTAGCGTGTGCCATCTTGCAGAACGAATTGTTGCTTTTCCAGGAAGCCGTATGACTTGTCTGTTACCTTTGCTGACAAATATGCTGCCAGGTCACATGGCTGCCTCCAAATAGCTCAAGTCCTCTTGCGCCAGGTAGAGCGGTTTTCCGCTGGTCCATTCCTGGGACGTGAAGCTTTGTCAACGCATGGCGGTGGCGGTTTTTCGTGTGCAATGTATTAGATTGACATGAGACAAATTCGGTTCGCCCCCAATTGGGACCAACATGGACCAACCATCCTCCTCAGTCGAACAAAGAAGGAGACTCTTTTTGTATTGGGTTTGGGGGAGGAACCTCTTGTGACACGTAGATTAGGTCGATGGGGGTCGATGGCAACTAGCTACAAATATCATAAATTCTTTGGATTGTTTTTCAACGGGATCAAAACAGTTCAAGAAGCGCTGACCTGTGGCAAGAGATTAACCAGCATCCCTTACAGCGGATGGTCACGGCCCACGGCCTTTTCAACCTCTAATCTGATGTCTCTTGGTCAACTCGTCTGCTTTTCCATCCATCCCCGGGGTCCATCCCCCCATCTATAGCACGCCATGGTCTCCCAGAAGACGGGATAGCGTACGGTGCCATCCGGTGCTTGGTGCCGGGTTCCACCCCCGTTTCCCCGCCCGCCGTTCGGCCCCCCGAGCGTCTCGGAAGTTCTGGTCCCAGAAGACCGGGCGCGCCGAGGCCGAGGACCTGGGCGACTCCTCCAGCTGCGTCTCCACGCGGCGCTGCTTCCCCACGCCCTTCAAGTCGAAGACTTTGGGGCCGAAGTGGCTGAGCCCGAACTGAAGGTTCTTCTGGACCACATAGAAGCCTATGTGAAGGCGAGCAGGAGCACACCGGGAACCGTCCCCATGGCAGGATAGTAAAGATGACGTCATGACTTCTAACCAAAAACACAAGGTTGATTTGTATGTATATGATTGACTCACATCAAAAATACCCAAACCTGGCTGTGTCATTATGCTTATATAATTTACATCCGCCTTCTTTCTTGGTACAGTACCCCCCCTGTCAAAGGACGACAAATGCAGTTACTGTATGGCAAAGGGAACGAACCATTGAAGCAAACCCCGGATTTTCGGGTGATGAAAGTCCTCCCGGTCCCCCTTTTGTAAGCTATCAGGCGTTAAGGAGTCTTCCCCCTACTAAGTCCTACTATCCATTAAAGAGATGAAAAGAAAAAGGCATATAAAGTAAAGTGTATTATTTTATATAATACGTATAATATTGCTGTGTATATATAGAGATTCCCCTCCCAACTGACCTCCAAGTCGAAGGTCGGATCTTAAACATGTGCTGAATACAAAACAACACAGGGGTTGAAACTCCAACGCAAAAGTGAAAGTCGGGTCTGCTTGAGTTTAGCTTTACCCAATTGTTAATTGACCGATTTGAGACCGTTTGAGACCCCTTCACCTGCGGTTTTGGAGGGTTCCTGAGTGACACGGCCCAATCACTTCAAGCCTCACACCCAAACAGAAAAGCAAAGTGTTTACCTCGTGCAGCGTACTTATATACTGAATATGACCTCAGCTGAAACTGCGACAGATTGGCTTTGACATTGACATCTCCTCCCTCCAACGAATTTATCATATAATATCCCATAGATTCCAGCCTAGTCTATGGTCATTTGCACCAGCCTTGCCGACCCTCCGCTCCGCAAAAGCCTCACCGACCCTCCCTTCTCTCCCAACGAAAGGACCGCGTGTTTGTGATGGTTTCCATGCTTGGAGTCGAGGTTCCCTGGTGCTTCTGAGATTTCTTGGTGGCCGACACGGTGAACAGCCCGATGACCTGCGTCAAGACCGAGGGCAACTTCTCAAAGAGCACCTCGGTCACGAAGTCACGCACGCTGAGGTTACGTGACGCGCCGCAAAAAGCAGCGGCGCAACGGAACGACGAGGTTGCCAGGAGTCGGTGAATCTCCAAGCCCATGCGCAATGTGCGAAAGCCATTGCTCTTTGATTCTTTTGCTTCTGAATCTTCCATCATGATGTCCTAAACATTCAATCACCGGCCAGTACATGCCACATCAGCGACCTGCCACCTCCCGACAACGACGGACCATGCCCGCCTTGTCACCCCCATACACCGGTCGGCCCCATTGGTTCCGTTGTTTCCGTTGGTCCGTTGGTCGGCACCTTATCGAAGTACCAAAAGAGGCTATTCGCCTCCATGACCAGCTTGTCGAACTCCGGCTTGTTCAGCGCCTCCAAGCTGGTCGACTTCGAGATGTTCCAAGCCGGAGATCTCCGGTTGCGAGATTTGGTCGCGGTTGGTTGGTTCACAATGAGAACGTTTACGGTCAAGACATCGATCAATGTGTTGAACAAGGGAAATCCAAAGTGTTGAGTGAATTTGATATACTTTGAATTGCTTTGATATGAATCACATTGACCCACCATAATCATCAAAAACTAGAACGGGGAGATCAACAACCCAAGCTTTGGGATTCAGGTTTTGACCGTCTTAAGCATGATGCTTCATGGGTCCATTTCACGATGGTTTGGGTTCTTTGAAAACGCTCGCCTACATTAGCCGGCTAGTGCATGTTCACACGGTTTGCTTGAAGTTGCAGTCTCAGTCTTGCTTGCAATCTGGCCGCCCAAATCAATCTTCCTGCTTTGTCATTGATTAGACGTTGTTTTCACTAGGATCCATTAGGGAAATTCGCCCGAGTGTCCACCTTCAGGCCTCCAAAAGGAACCTTCCCACTTTCCCAGGCAGATTCAGTCTCTCCGGATAGCTTGATGAAAAACCAAACATACCAGACCAAAACCATCAACAAATCATTCCGTGTTGTTGGGATTCCCAAAACACGCCTCCAACCCCCTAGGCCTTCAACAGAAATCGATCGTCATGAGACGAATAGAAGCTTGCTCCCGTCTTGCCACCGCTCATGGAGGTCTTGTTGCACCGGTGCAAGGAGCGCACAAAGTTCAGGTCGTCTCCACATATCCAGTGACGAAGCGCGTGGAAGTGACAGGCGAAGTGGATGGACACCGAATACTTCCCCTGCTTGTCCTCGAAGTCCACCTTGAAAACATCTGGGCATGCTACTGTAAATTGAATATGCTCCGCCTGCCCGATTGCAATGGCTCAGTGATTCATATCTTTTGGCCCAAGGTTCCTCTTCCTCACGATTGACTCCGATTGACTATATATAGCCGATGCCCACACGTTTGATCCCGTTTGGTCATTGGCTGCAAAAAATATATATATATATAATAACAACACAAACTGACCAACAGCAGTGGTAGTTTTCCATCACAAATTATATAATGGAATGATGTCAATCGAAATCTTGACAACAATACATGCCGCTCTGTATCAAAATGTGTTGACGCTTGTTTTTTCAACAACGCTCACACAAAATAGAACTGGCCGCAAGGGCATGATTGCCTCCCCACTAAGCTGCCCGGATAGTCGAGCCCCGCACCTTCACCGGTTCCTTGTTCACGGCACCCGTTAGGACACTCCGCAAACCCACCTGTTCCCACTCCTGCGTCAAGCCGTTGGCATGTGTTAGTTCAGAAATGGGAAGGAGTCAAACTCAATCGCTTGCAAACTGATCCAGGCGTTGGAGTGTTGGCTGCTGCCAATGCAAAAGTCAGTTTTTTAGCACGAATTCACGGTATTTCTGGTTTTGAGCCATGGCACCCCTTGGCAAAATCCACTACGACGGGTGTTTGGGGCATCGCATGACTCAACGGCTCGCACGCCGACTATCGGCGGAGCGAATCAGCTTGGGACTAAAGTTGCGTTCCGACGAAAGCCTGACATCATGGAAATGGATGGCATGGTCCTTTTCGGAAGACTGCTTATTTATCTATATTGCACCGATCATTACAGATCTAATTGGTGGTTGCCTGGTGGTTGATCAGTGCTTTCAATATGGACTGGCAACTCTTCGCGGACAAAACATACCTTTCGCGGCCTCATTGCGAACCATGCTCCCAAAACAGCCTAGAACCATGTTACTTAACATGTAATGAAACTGTGTCGACCTAAGTTTGTAGTACCAAAGAAATATTGACTGGCATCTTGCAGCATGACCTTGAGATTTACAGTTACTCCAGGTCACTTGCAACATCTGCGCGCCAAACTTTGAGGCAGGTCCTGGAGGAGGCTTAGAATATCTTAGAATAGAGTCAGGCTCAACTCAATCCAACCCTCGTGCCACCTACCAACACAGGGTAGCGCAGCAGGGTCAACGAAATTACCCCCAAAAAAGGTCACGCCGCCCGCAACAACCCCGCGAAACGCGCATTTTGGTCGTGCATTTCAACAGCCCTTACAGCATTTCGGCTGTCTTGCATTTTTATGGCGCGTCTTCAAAGGGCCTTACATTGGAAAATTGATGACGCTTGTGTTTCTTCTCGTATTTTCTCGTTTACCGTGGGCCAGATGAAAACTGGTCTGCCAGCGGCGTTGGCTGCCAGAGCTCTCACAAGTGATCGCGCATATTCGCGCGCCACGCGAAGGAGGACACATACTCCTGGATACTGCTGTTGAGGCCAGCAGTCGTATTCGCGCGCGCGCGTAATGACAATCAGGCGCTCTTTGTTCATTTGACCCGCATCAACCACACTTTCCTCATTGACGTTCTCAAGTTGCGTAGACATGACACGCAGATCAGTGTTCTAACATTAGAAGACACAAGATACGGAACATTGTTACCCCCCGCCCATCCCCACCCCCAATCCTCGCGTAAAGAAAAATGTTCACCCATTGGCGTTGGGAACACACTTTGCTTTGCCCTTTGGTTTTGCCCTATGGCTGCTTCATGATGACATCGCCTTCTGGAAGTTCAGGCTCAGCCTAATCAGCGCCACCTGGAACACTGCTGACCTGGCCTCATCAGCCATGGGTACAACAAAAAACATTATGAAAATTGGCTCTTCTAGTAAGACCCCTAGGCATCCTATCTTGTAAGAGCTCATCTCTTGTTAAACACATGTATTTTACTGCGAAGAACACATATTCTTAAAAACTGCATATGAACTGCATACAAACCGCATACTAATTGCATATGAACTTTCCCAAACAAATTGCAAAACTAATGACAAGCCCTATGGACGCACGTCTTCCATGACAGTACGCAAGTAAAGTTCAATCTGAAAGTCTCCCAGGCACATACCACGCTCTCAAACTCACATGTACTGTGGAGCTCAAGCGCCAGGTTTCTGAAGTAAAGCTCAAGTACACGGCGGCACATGTGGATCTCAAGCATCAAGTTTCTCAAATAAAGCTCAAGAACAAACAGACGCACATGTAGAGTAGACCTCAAGGGTGAGTTTCCTCAAGCAGAGCTCCAAGCTGAACATGTTTCTCAAGAGTCTTACCTTGAGTCTTCTTAAGATGGCACTGAAAGACTGAGAGCACAGTTCACGGAATCAATGTACACATACACACACCACATCTTATGTTTGGTTAGAAGCATGGGTGAGGGACATAGGTTTGGCTATCACTACCGCTTGAAGTTCTTTGGAAACAGTCGCAGCATTTTAGGATGCGCTAGAGGTATTTGAAGCCCTTTGTCGAGTACTGATGGGGCACTTGTGAGAACAAAATACGTGCGCGCCGTATCTGTGAAGGACTTCTCACAGACTCCTGTGAGTCTCTTGAGTTACAAAATCCTGGCTCAAGTACTTGGTGGAAGCCATAATGTTTCAAACTGTGCCCGAAGTACTTGAGTTACTTGAGAGGTACCAATACTTGAAAAGGATCTGTGGGCAACTTGACTGGGAGCGACTGTGTCTGACATTGTGGCGCCTAACTGTTTCTACACTGTTTTTGATGGCTTTGCAAATTTTGGTGAACTTAGCTACATTAACTTACGAATACAAGAACTAAGTCACTATATAGACAAAAAATGCTCAGGCTATTGGTCGAAGAACACCTTCCAAAAAGAGCTGCAGCTGACGCAGTCCTAGCGAGCTCAAACAACATCTTTTCAGCGTTGGCATGACCTCACCACCCGCGAGCTGTAGCAAACCGGGCAAAACGGATACCACGACACCGGCGACACACACCGCCAAGCTGAAAAAGCTCTCACTCCAAAGGTCATCGACAACAAATGGACAAATGTATCACTATCGCGCAAAGAGACCAAGTCACCAGACAACTGCCAGCATGGGCCCCAGGGCCACTGCATCGTCAAATGCCATATTCCGAGCAATGGGCAGATGTCAAGATCTTCGACCAACAGTTGCGGCCCGGCCGCCGTGTCTACATACACGTGTCTACCGCACCGGAAATCACAGCCATGAGGGCCTTGTGGAGGGGAGACCCTCTCCTTCTGCTCTGAAGCGCTCAACAAGTCAACAAGGTGCTCACTGATGAGCTTTGCTATGGCAAGGCAAGATGCATTGAAGAAGCCTATGCCCTATGAAACCGGCACCTTCGCAGAACTTTGCGGCATCATGCGCAAACATCTACACAATCTGTCAGAGCTGCGGAGCGTTGCCTCAGCCAGAGGATTGCCTTCCATGTCTACATGAAAATGAAGACAATTGATATTATATAAATCGCTTGAACAAAAAAGCAACAAAACTACTTTCGCAAACCTAATCGCTTCATCGCGGATCTTTCGCGGACGGATTGGACAGCATCCAAAAGGTTGCTTTATATTTGGTAGAAACCCCTTACACGCACCTTTGACCAACTGTATGAATACCCTTTTACCGACAGGAGGTGTTTATCGTCCATGGGATGTCTTCGGGGTGTACGACATTAGGATCTTTGGGATTCCTGGATGCCATTCACATCACATCAGGTGGGCAGGCGAAGCCTGGCTTCGCCCTATGATGGGATGAGTTTCCCCCTCCTCTGAAACGCGCTGCAACTCGTGCTCATCCCAGACCTGAAACAAAGTCAGCTAAGATCTGATGACAAATGGACAGAATGACAACTCTCGAAGCGCTGGATCAAATCCTCAATACGGGCTTCACGCAAGCGAACTGCACAAAATGCAACACTTACGTACACTTACTTCACAATTGCGCAGCCTTCACCGTGCTTTAATCAACGCCCACTTCAATGCCCATGCGGCCTTCATCGCCTTTCAAAACCCTCTTCTCTCCCAGCCATCGCCCATCCCAACTTCGATCGCACCTCAGCCGCTTGTTCCCAGGCCGCAGGACAGCTCCGTCCGCAGAGTTTCCAAGGCTTTGCTTTGAGCTTCCGCCGTGCCTCGCTCTCCTCGAGCACCGGCTTCCAGGTGCCCTCCTGAGTGGGAAATCCCCGCAAAACACGGGGCCGCCCCGCTTGATGGCCGGTCATCGTTCACAGGCGGGGGTAGCATCCAAAAGCAAGTGAAAGAACGTCACCGGAAATCTGTGGTGTCTAGAATCTAGATCAGCCTTTTTCTTGGAGCCCACGTGAACAAAGACTGTGAGCGGAGCAGACCGGTGAAATATGCTGAACAAAAACACATGAAAAGGATCCTGGTGACCACAAGTTCAAGGTCCCTCCTGCAAGTGGGTTGAAGGCTGTAACTCCCTTCGCAAACCGCCCTTGATGTTCAAACAACAAGAAAAGCGCATCCATCAGATGAATCTCCAAATCCAATCTTGAGGAATCTTGAGTCCAAGTAGTCTCGGGGCATCAATGCCTTGAACAGACGTATGGTGGGATCCAATCATTCATGCTGAGGGACTCCCCATATCGCCCAGAAAAAGCTCGAACATCTCCACAATTCAAGCAAAAGAAAACAACCAAACCCGGGACCCTCAATGAGGAGGGATTTTCCCTTTGTCCTGCTCTTTGGCATGGATAGTAGCTGATCAGAAATAACTAAATGCCCAGTGGGTGTCGATTCACACCGATCTGCACGTATCCGGGCGTCCCATTCGGATCGCGTCGAAGGCCGCTGAAGGCATTTGGGCAGCGACCGGAAACATGCATCTTGGATCTCAAGCGGACAGCACGACCTGTTCCGGCCATTCCCGGCATTTCCGGATGTGTGGCAAATGGAAAAAGGAATCAAAGGAATTAATATAGTATTTATATATATATATATTACTTACACTATGCATTGTAGTATGATATTCATACATGTTATATAGATGTATTATGATCGATATGAACCAATGACAGGTCAGTGGTCACTGAGTTGTGGGATAAGACAACGGGGAGCACTATCCACCCTAACAAAAGCTCACGCTTTTTCAACCGGTGGTAGTCCTCTCAGTTGGTCTTCACCTCCACCACTTCGCCAGTTTTTGGCTTCATGTGCTTGGCGCGAAGTTGGAGCATTTGATGCAAGTCACCGCGTCGCTGTCGAGGCCGAAAGAGAATGATGAGGAACCATAAGGCCAACCGCACCGGGTGTGCCAGGTGGAAACCGGCGAAGCAACCGGCGTCCTGCGGTTAGCGTGGATGCAGCCCTTGGTGATCACCGTGGGAGGAAGTAGGCCATGATTCTTCGTTGAAATGTCTTCCCATCTCGTGATGGACTCATCTAACTTCTCTTGGGCCTTCTTCAGGTGATCGATCTCCAGCTTGAGCTTCCTCTCGTATTCTAGAGTCTTTCCTCTGGAGGGTGGCTTGCTCTGTTCGGGTTGTGTGCAACTCTGCGCCTTCGGCTTGTTGGGGTTGGCCATGACAGGCATCGTCTCCAAGGCCTCCTCGGCATACTGTAAGATGATATTCGACTTCCATCTCTCCAGGTAGGCGACTTGGGGAACTTGCCAACCTCGTCGGATGTATTGTAGGGCGCCGGATCTTCTCCCAGAGTGGCCAGTGACAGACTTGCCGAACAAATCCCTCCACGAGTTCACGATCTGGGCCGTCGGTGGTGTCTCCATGCACCAACATGTCCTCTTCGATGGGGACAGAGTCGAGGGCGGCCTTGGTGATCATGAAGGGGCATGGGGAGGACCAGTCACATACGTCCCCACAGCAGCATTGTAATGTCCTCTTGATCCCTTGCCCTTCTTGGTCGCCTTTCGTGATCCTCAGATGTAGTGCTACTATCCGATCCTTCTCCTCGATGGTGATGTCTTCCTTGTAGATGGCCGCTAGCTCAACTTCTCTCAGCATCCACGTTGTGGCGAAGGCGAACATCAGGGCCGGGTAGTGTATCGTGCCCACCATCTGCTCGTTGATTTCGGATCTGCACTTCTCCATCCATAGGGCTTCGGGAACTTCAGCAGCTTTCTTAGCGGGCCCCTGTGCGCGTTTCAGCGCCCTCGTCACTTGGGCGAAGACTCGTTGTAGCTGGTGGGACCACGGCGTGCCTTTCTCGATCAAGAGTTGCTTGTATTCGGACAGATAGGCGTGTCCTGCTTTGTACTTCGACTCCTTGAGCACAGCCCCTACTTGCTCCAGCGTCTCCGGCGACCAGCAGCAAGGTTTGCCCCACGCGCCAAGCCCATCCAAAATGCCTTCCACGGTTTTCCTGACTGAGGCCTTGGCTTTCCGCGAGGAGTTGGCGTAGTAGTGTAGCTTGAAGTCCTTCACCACGTTCTCCCCTTTACTCTGGTTCAGCTTGAAGAGCTTGGCGGTTTTGATAGCAGTCTTCCATTTCTGTTTCCCTTTCTGGCTGGAGTTCGACTTGGGCGCCAACGGTAGGTCCGCCCGTCTTTTCCTCAGCTTGCCCTTCCAATGTTTTCCTTCGCGCCGTAGGCGACCTCCAACGCCCCGACGAATTTCGTCTCCTCGCCCCTGGGTGCCTTCCGGCTGTTGAGATCTCGACGAAGGCGGGGGTCTCCTCTGAGGCGTAGCGCACGCGAGTGATCTCTTCCTGTTTCTTCTAACCAGGTTCACCAGCCCCTCACATTCGCCTTCTCCCACTCCCCAGAGTGAGGAGGGAGGCTCAGGTGGGAACTTGCGCACGCTGGTTTCCTTCGCCCCGGCGGGTTCATCTCGGGTTTCACCTCATCTCTTTGCATCGATTTCGTTTCCAGGTGTGCTGCCATGAACCTTCGTGACCTCGGCGAACTCCCTGGTTGAGGTGGCTTCGTCCTCGTACTCCAGGTCGAAGTGGGTCACAGCTGCCACTAGTGGTCCTTGGAGTTCAGCCTCCTGGTAACTAGCCATGACATTCCCTCGGTTTCCCTGATGGATTCCCTCAGGCGAGGGGAGTTGGAGCTGGGCCCATACGGGCGGTGCCTCATTGAGCTCGGGGTTGGAGTATCCATAACCGTCGAGGCTGCGGTCGATGTTCCCCTTTCTTCTGGCGTGTGCCCCAAGCGCTCCACCAATTCTGCCCAGGGGAGCTTGACTCCGGGATTGTCCATGATGGCAGGTTCACCTCCGCCTCCTTGTGGTAGTACATATCCCATGGCTCCACCCACTGGTCGTCCTCTGACTCCGCCCTCTTCTGCTCGCTGGGTGTTCCTGCGGAGTTCGGCAGCAGCGCCAGCAGGTCCAAATCAGGAGCGCATGCCCTATCGCGCTGGTTGCGATGAGGTAGAAAAGCAAGTAGGCCAGCCACGCACGAACCGGTTGGGGCTCGTCGGTCGGTGTGACCGGTGGGATGGCCCGGACTGCGATCTCCATCTTGGCCCAAATGGCGACTGGCGGTCTTCTTTGTCCTGTCAGGAGCGTGTGAACGATGCGGTCGACGGACCCGACAAGGAGGTAGTTGGTTTGGGATCTTATCAACCTACTCTTTCTCCCCCCCCCCTTCCCACCCCGGAACCATCACCTCTTTTGACACACGGCTGGCTCCCGCTAGTTGCGGTGTGCCCACGCCGCCAGCATGGCTTCAGATTCCTGCCATGCCGAGGTGTCGGGGCCTGGCGGTGGGAGTCTGTACCATTCCGTCGTCCGCTCCACGGGCGTCTCGACTTGGATGCCTTCCAGTGCCTTTGGCATCGAGGTGGACTTCCATGTGTCAGGTCGAGAAAGGAAGTCGGCCTCCTTGTTTGCGGTTCCTGGGAGGTGGATCGGGTTGAGCTCGGTGAGGCCCAGGGCCTCGCAGGTGATGGCGAGTTCCGCCCCGAGGTAGTTCAGGGTGGCATTGCTGTTTGAAACTTCTGTGTGAGGGCCAGCGCAGTCACTGAATCTGACTGGATGTTGATGGCCACGTTCACCGATGTGAGGAGCTTTCCCCAGTGCTTGAGGGCGGCGAGGATGGCCAGGGCTTCCACAGCCCCGAGCTCGATTCACCTAAGGCGAAACCCAGCGTTTTGGCATCCAGCTCACCCACCGGAGAAGCTAATGCCTTGGTCACCCGGCCGTTCACCAGGAGGACGGCGCCTAACCCCAGGGGGGATGCGTCCGTCATTAAGGCTACTTCGGCTTTGCCGCTCTTGTAGAGGTTGTATTTCCTTATGGGTTTCTCCTTCGCCGCGGCCAGGTACGTCATGAGCCACTGTCTAGCCCTCTCCACCCGCTTCACTGGGATCAGGTGGTCCTTTGCTCGGTCGTCTTGGCGTTTTGCCCTCCTCTCCGCTTCTGCTCCACTCGCTTGATCCTCCTCGTGGGAATAGAGGACAGCGTAGAGCGTTGAAGTGACCCATCGCGCTCTGGGGAGGACGCCTGCCAGCCAAGCAACTCGCCCGGCTGCCTGCCTCAGTTCATTCACTCCTATCATGCCCTTCTTGTCCCAGGCCTCGAGCTGCTTGCGCAGTTCTTCCATGAAGCGTTCCGGAAGCGTGACCATAAGGTAGTCGTAGTCCGGGGCGACAAGCTTGAACTTCACCCCGATCCAGGTCACATCAGCTGATCTTTCTCCTTTCTTCAGGGACAGGCGCAGGCCGAGGGCGGCCATCGTAGTGAGGATGCAACCCAGCGTCCTGTTCCGGGTTGCTATAATTATCCTGCCACGCAAGACCCAGAAGGAGTCGTCCAGGTACACCTGGCGCATGCCCTTCTCTGCTGGGATGATGGACTGTATGAGCCTTGCCGTCATGGCCGCCACCCTGCTCCAAGTCAGCGGAGCCGTCTTGTATCCGAACAGGAGCGCCACGAACAATAGCCAATGTTGTGAGTCCAGCGCCGGAGCCAAGCAGTGGCCTTTCTCCTCCTCCTTGATGGCCAGGTGCATGAACGCATCGGACACGTCTATCAGCACCATCTCCATCGTCCTCTCCTGCGGCGCGGCATCTTCCGCATGTAGAGCATGCATTTTCCTCAACATCGCGATGGCGTCGGGCGGCCTCGGCAGGATCAGCCTCTCGGGTAGCACTGCTTTGTTGTTTCCTCCCGATCGACGTAGATCGATGATGATCCTCCTCTTCTTGGATCCATCTTCCTTCGTCTTGACGATGAGGCCCAGCTTAGAGACCGTGATTCCCTTCAACCCCGCTTCCTCCGCTTCTGTCTTCTCGATGGGGACCAACCTGTTGATCTCCACCCTTGCGTCTTCTTCTTGATCTCGCACCGACATGTAGTTCCCGATGTCCTCCCTGAAGCTCTGTGCTGCTTGCCAGTCGTCTTGCCTTGCGGGGGAGTCTTGCTTCAGTGCCGGGGGGAAGATGTTGCAGGACTTGATGGGGCAGTTGATGCCGAGGGGCACGCCGAACTCGATCCATTTGGGCACTTCCACCTCCGGGTCATTGCCTCGTCTCCCCCAAGCTTCGTACAAGCTCTGGTCGAGCGGCGAGGTGTAGTTCCACTTCCCCTTCAGCTTCAAGGCTGGCGCTCCTCTTGCCCCCGTCACCTTCCTCAGTTCCTCCTTCCACTTCATCACCCATTTCTCCTCGTCCCGTACGTTTCTGCAACCTTCAGGCAGTGGGGGTAGCGGTTGCAGTGTCTCTCCCAAGCCCCCATGATCCTCCGTCCGAGGTTCTGCAGGGACGGTAAGCCCTCAACCACCTCCGCCGGGTTCTTCATCCCACCAACGAATGTCTGCTGGTCGAATCTCTGCTCCTTCTTGTTCTCTTCGCGTAGCAGGCCGTATCTCCCTTCTCCTGCTTTCCAGCTCAGGTTCTCCTTCAAGGCTGTGTCCCCCTTTGCTTCACGGGATCTTTCACGGCTGGCTGACCTTGGCCTTTTTCGTCCCCTTCGTGCCGAACTCGACCTCTCCCTCGATCGCCCCTTGGCTCTCCTTTCACTCCTCTCCCTGCTGCGGTCCTTGGCCAGCCGGCCCTTGTCTCCACGAAGCTCATCTCGGATTCGTTGAGGTAGTTCAGATTCGGCCGTGTCCAGGTTTCCACTCCTGTGGGATGAGCCCGGTTCAGGCGATGGCCACCCCCTCCGATTTCCTCTTCTGCCTCATCTCCGTGGCTGGATGACAGGCCATCATGGAATTGCTCCAGCTCCTTCATCCGCCCCTCCAAGAACTCTGCCGTTGCCATCTTCTCGAAGTGGTCCATCAGGAGGTTGGCGTACTTGTTGCAAAGCGCCCATGGATATTCTCCTGACTCTTGGGAAGCCTTCTTGCCGATGATGGCCTTGTGCTTGGAGTCCCCACACTTACGTTCATCTGCTCGATGCCAAATAGCGTGCCTGCGAACTGCTGGGGCTTCCAGTGGCGATCGCCTCGGGCTCTGTCTGCCTGATACACGCAAGTGTTGAAGAGGGTGATCTTCACGCCAGGCAAACGAAGGAACCGCACCATTTCGGCCATGCCCCAAGCCGACAAGTGGTCCTCATGCTCCGACGGCGGCGGGTTTTCCACCGTCACAGGTTTGACCACGATGGACGTTGTAGGTGTCTTGGCGATCTCCTCGGCTATCTGGGTCGAGCGCGCCATCATCACTGTCCCTCTGTCGCACTCCCTCTGCTGTCCATCGTTGTTGGACTTGCAGCCGTATACGGGTTCTGCTCGAGTTCGGACGAGTTGTGGAAGTCCTTCAGCTCGCCTGAACCTCAATCGGGAGTACGTCGAACAAGGGAAGCCGGAGCGGTACCCGTCGATGAGCCCTTCACGAGCCCATTGAAGGTGGGTGTTGTATAGGGCTCATCAGCGGATAGGTCCTCTCCCCAATCCTTCTCGGTGGAGATGACTTCAACCTTGAGGTTCCTCTTCTTGGCCACTCGATGGATCTCGCCTCCCAGTGGATCTCGTGGGCCTGCGAAGTGATGAAGAAACCTGAACTTCCTGGCGTGCACATAGTCCTGGATCTTCTTGTCCATGTCCTGTTTCGTCTTCTCTTCATCTCTCCCCTCCTCCTTGGGGTCTTTCTCATCTTGGTCCCCTGCTTTGCCTTCGTCACCATGGTCACCTCCGTCTCGAAGACCTGAGCCTTGTGCATCTACTTCTTGCCGGTGCATTTGATCGCAGGGTGACCCGGCGACCCGCACGATGAGCACCTGTGTGCCCGCTTGGTGGAGTTGACGCACTCCGCACCCGGTGGCAATGATCCACATGGAGAGTTCCCATTGTTCCAGGAAAAACAGATACTCTCCGAGCTCTTGCTGCCCTTCCCCTTCTTGCCGCCTCCTTTGCTTCTTTGACCTCGATCTCCCCCTGCATCGCCGCGGCTTTCTCGGAGTCGATGGAGTTCTTCCCTTTCTGCCTGCCACTTTCTCTTCTTGGCTTCCTTTCGATCTCTGTTCGCCTGCTTCCTCCCTGAAGGTGATGCCGCGGGTGAAGTGGATCCGTAGGTGCCTGACTCCATCAAAGGTTGAAGTGCCTCTAGCCCGCCACGCAAGTTCCCTTGCGCCGTCGATTCCTGCGGGGTGAGCATGCGTCCACGAGCTCCTGAGGCCAACCACGTGAGGGCTGGAGTATGTATCTGGTCCTGCCAAAATTTCATCTCCCCCGTGACCTGTTTGAACACTGTTTCCCATGGTTTCTTCTCGTCGAATCCCGTGGGTGGAGCTTTGCCTTCCTTCGCGTCCAGGACAATCTTGAGCTTCAAGCGCATCAGCAGTTCGCTCCTCGCCATCTCGTCGGCGGAGTACACCTGCAGGTGCCAGGCGTCCGGGTACAGCCTCGTCAACTTCTCCACGAAGAGCTCGTAGGCGTGAAGCGGGGCCAATGAACTCTCCTGCAACATGATCATGGCTGTCGTGAACACTCTGTAGCAAGCCCGCCATTGGGTGAAGTTGGCAGGACCAGGCAACTCCTTCGACACATAGCCGTCTGCCGTGGGGATCCATGTCCTGTACTTCGATGCCCTCAAAGCTTTCCGACCGAACGGAACGAAGACACCGAAGTCGCAGTATGGCGGTTTGCCCAAGCTCAGCTTCTTCCGAAGAGCTGAAAGCTGTTCTATCGTGGGCTCTTCCTCTTCCTCTGGGAGCGCACCCGTCGTGTTGATGAACTTCTGCAGCAACGCCATCTTGTCTTCCTCGTTCAACACCTCGAACTCCCCGTCGTCCCCCTGGTCCAGGACTTGGGTGAATTTGAGTGTCCTCTCCTTCGTGTCCTTCTTGGGGTCGATGGTCATGGTAGGCCTCGAAGGGGAGCTTGTCGCGGTTGAACTCGAGCTCCAAGGGTCTTCTTCGGTCCAGTCGTCCCATCGACCACCACCTCAAACATACATCAGCCGCCTCGCCAGTTTCCACACCAATCCCACCTGGGCAGCTTGGATGGCAGTGAGGTGGCCATTGTCGTCCAGCGAGGTTTGAGTCAAGCTGGCTGCCACCACCGGACCCGGCAGGGCCGCCAACAGTCCAAGATCTTCGCCGGGGCTGCCGGCTTCCGCCACGAAGGCACGCGACAGCCCCTCTTCCACCTCGAAGTGGGCCAATAGATCGGAGACCTTCGACATCGCAATGGCCGCCTCCGATGATGGATACATACCAAGCCACCGCGAGGCACCACATCGCATCAAAAACGCAACGAGTGCTGGGTGGCTTGAGCCAAAATGGCAAGGCCACCCAGCACTCCCCACCCAGTGCTCCAAAATTTGTCATGCGGAAAAACTTCGTTTTGCCTTCAAAACAACGATAAACCCTTTCAATAGACCGCCTTCACGCGGGCCACCCTTTTTTGCCCCTCCATCCCCTCCAGTCCAGTTCCATGCGCACCTCCCTCCCAGCGTGTTCCACTGGCTGGCCATCTGTTCCTTGGCCTTGTCGCTCAGCAAAGCATAGCTGATGAGGGACCCCACGTCCTCGAAGTTCACCGGCAAACAGATCCCGTGCAAGCAGCACTCGCCTGGGTCGTTCACCCACCTTCGGCCTCCACCGACCCCGCCGTTCCGCCCGCGGCGCCGTTCCGCCCGGGCCTGCATTGATGTTGTTGCTCTCCTCGACCGCGTCTTGGAAAGCGGTGAGGACTTGGTCCAAGTGCCTTGCATGTTGGCCGAGGTCAAATCTTCGCGTAGGGGCAGAGGGGGGCAGGTTAGGGGTGCATCCTTGATTCATTGGAACCCTTGTGCCTGGGGTGGGCGATATGAGAAGAACTCGAAAATGAAGGTTATCGACCAGCAAATCTGGAAACATGTTCTCCCTGTCCTCTTTCATTGACAGTGGCATTCCAATCTTACAAATCCTCAATGAGTTGTCCGCTCTCAATCATGCACCATTGACTGGGGTATAGGAAATCCAATGACAATTTCACTTCTACCCAACCCCAAGACACCCATCCCATCCACATCCATCCACCCTCCCCATCCACCATCCTCCACCTCGCGGCGGAACTCGCGCCTGGGCAGCGCCTCGCGGAACTCCCGGCGGCCGCGGAACTCCTTCTGGGCCTCTTGGGCGAGGTCCAGGTCCACCATCCAGCTCCTCTGCGGCAAGGTCTGCTCCACCGTCTGTGAGCCCAAAGCATCGAGCTCCGTGACGCCCTGGGGGAACGAAGGCGGGAAGAGGGACGAAGGCGGACGGAGGCGAGCGAGCTAAGGCACGCCCAGCCAGGGGGGGGCCAGGGGCCAGGGCGAGACCTCCCGCTCGAGTGGTTGAAGAGCTGGTGGAACGCGCTCCCCTGGAAACAACACTCTTGAGGGGCGTCGTTCGCAGTGACCTAGTGACCCAGCAAGCTTGGACCAAGAGAGGTCAAACGATGTCAAAAGGGTCCTGGTTCCTTGGATCCCTGGGCTCCTTGGATCCCCTGCGCTCCTTGGATCCCCTGGATCTCCCACCTAGCCAGCACCCTATACAAGCCTATCTCCTTGGCCTCAGGAGCAGTTCCAGCTCCTCGTTTTACAAAAGGTGCTGCACGGTCACCTCTGGCTCGTTGTAACAGGCTCCTACATTCAGTATCACTCAGGACCACCTGTCTCACCCTGACTTGGATGAAAAGTTTTTCCGTCGCCAAACTGCTCCACCGCTTTTCCTTTTCTCCCACCTGCTTGGCAGCGTCTTCCGGGGTCCAGATCCGATTCAAGGTCTCTTTGGCGCTCGAAAGCAGGCTGGAAAAGGTGGCAGGTAAAGGCATTTGGAAGCTGCTGCCCTTGCTCTTGTCCTCATTCTCCTGGGCCGGAATTAGCACCAGAGTTCTCACAAGTGCTGCTTTGAATCAGCACGGAATGGCTAATGACTAGGTCAAGACGCATGCAACAGAAACAAGAGCTTGCGATTCAGCGGTAGGGAGGGCAACCTCATCTCCAATAGTTGGTCTCAGTTCGCTGGCCCTCTTGATTCAAAACAGCTGTGGTCCTGATTAATCCCGTCCTCCTAATAATAAACACGGGCCCCCCCCCTATTAAAAAATCCTCGGTCGCATTTTTTCTAATAGGGGGTCCCTGAAATGGGGGGTGCCAAAATAGGGTCACCTGGAAAGAGTTTCAAAACCAAAAAGTCATCCAAGAAAATTTTATATAAAATCCTTTATTAAACTCGTATCAAAAATGCAAAAAACCGCCAGATCGAAGGGTCTTCCTTTTCCCCTACAAAAACCTTCATTAGAATAGTGATTCTTCAGTAGACTAACAGCTAAAGCTTTCGAAAGGTGATGTCGCTGTGCCATGCGGTGTTGCATGACCTCGGTGGCAAGTGCGTTTGCGTGAGTCCGTGCCATTGAGGGAAGGAAAGCCTGCTGGTGTAAGCGCGGCGTGTCATGGTGGAGTTTTGGGGAACCTAATAAAAAGAACTACCCCCAAAATCGACCATGTTGGTAGTTTAGTAGCGGTTTGAAAGGGCGGCAATTTAAAACCAAATATAAACCGAATTTAGGGGTTCGGACGTGGTGTTTTTTAATTGGGGAGTGTTTATTAATAGGTACTCGGGATTAATTATGCCATGATGATGCCTTCCGCCACAACAAAGAGTCAGGTAAAAATAGAAACAGCAAGGTCTGCCGCCCTAGTTTGGCTATGAAAACTGCTCGGAACTTCTGAACCTAGATCTGGATGAGCGATTTTAACAGTTGATGCCATCACCTGGGATTGGGTCAGTAGGCCAGCTCGGCTCCAAGGAGTTCAGCCAGGATTCCCGAAGCTTCTTCTGAAGATCCACCAAGTCCTGACTGCTTGTGGCCAAGCAAAGGCATTTCTGGCCTGCGGGGTAGCATGTTTGAACGTGTTGGAATGGCTGATTGCAAGCAAGTGGACCGGAGGTTGCCCAAAGAAGCTTGCAAAGGAGGAAACAACATCTGACTGCGGATGTTCCTCTGTTTCAAGTGTTGCAACAGTAGGGGTGTGCTGCTGCTCGAGCTTCAAAGGGCTTCTCCAGGTTTATCAAATAGTCAACCATAGACTATGTCTTCGCAGACCGTCCTGCAGGATGACCCGCGAGATCTTCCCCTCCCGGAAGGCGTCCATGACCTCGCGCCGCAAGGTGCCTCGGGTCTGGCGGCTGCGAAGCGGCGAGTTCTGGATGGTGCATGATGGTGCCATGATTTGTCCGGTGTTCCAGCTTGCTTCCTTTCGCGGCAAGTACTCGAAGCTTTTTTTGAACTGGCGAAGTCTTGTTTTCGCGTTTTCTGGGGGGTCTGGCTGGGATTCTTCCTGTCCCATCTTTCCCATCCATAATCTCCTAACAAGTTGAACAGTTCCTAAAGCATGATTTCACCACCCCCCTTTCCAAACACTGGTAAACCAGAACGCCTCTATCGTTCCATGTCTTGCAGATCGCCCAAGTCACTCACCAGCAAAGGGTCCGTGGACAAGTTCTCTACGACCTGCGAGTTCATGTTGTGGAAGCTCGACACTCCCAAGGACTCCTCCGCGCGGATGAGAGAAAAATCACTGCTAGCCAAGGCCTCCAACCTACTAGCGATGGCCTCCAACCTACATCTGTCGCACGAGCCGAACAATGGGGGATGTGTTTTATCCTGTTGCATAGCTCGCCCACGTGGGGTACGCTACCGGAATGTATCGAGTTTGCTGGACTGTTTTGAAGTTGAGATCATCGCCGAGCTCGCAAAACGACTGCGACATCAACTTCGAAGGAGAATCATTGCTTCTGATAGAAACCTTCTGGCACCTCCTCTCCAAATGCCTCATTGAAAAAAAAACACATGAGATTCGGAGTACACCATGATTACCTCAAACCTCTCCATGATTCTCACACCAACCTCCTCACTCTTGAACCCCTTCACCCTCCGCCGCACCGCGGCTTCGTTTTCCTGACCGCGCCGCCCTCCTTCACCCCCGCCCCGGCCCGTCCCCTCCTTCACGCTCCGCAAGCGCAGCGAGATATCTCCGTGAAAGTCATTGAGGTTCACCATCACCCGATGCCAGTCGGTGCGATTCTGAAAGAGCCACTGCCTCCGGCGGGTTTTTCTCTGGTCAAGCCAGGGGCGTTCCAAGGGCGAGGCGCAGAGGTGACTCTGCGGATCAAAACGGGGCCTCCAAACCCTCCAGAGGGGAGAAAAAAATGGTCGAAACTACGGATTATGGATTCGTTTGCGGTGCCTGGTTCCATGGTCTTCCCATTTCAAGTCTGATACTGGAGTGATGCTATGAAAGAAGAGAAAATACGAATTCATCCTGCATCTGGCTGACAAGTTGTCAAGCAAACCACCCAAACTCTTCTTTGGTCGAACATTGGTAGTCTTCAGCTGGCAAACCTACACACCAAATGTTCTTCTCGTTTTCAGCATCTACAGCATTTGCATGCATTTACTCCATCCTGGAATCCAGAAAACTCCAGAGCCACCCTCATCGCCTCAAAAGGAACAGGTCCATACCATCGCCGTTGGTGTCCTTTTTCTCCTTGAATTCCTGGGAGTGTCAACCAGAATGTTTCAGTGTTGTCGTCAAAGAAGCAGCTTCGAGTTTGGAGTTCATCATCGGATCGGGTGCTCCATCTGGTCTCCCTAGTGTTGGAGTTTTTACTTATTCCTTCCAGGGTCTCTTTCCTCCTAAGCAACACGTTCCTTGTCCTTTCTTCTGCTGGCAACCGTGTGTCCGAGTGTGGCCAGTCGAGCCGGAGCAGAGACATCAAAAATGAAGTCACGACTGTGGAGATCATCAAAGATTCAGTTTATCTTTTTGGTGGTAATCTACATTTATTGTTTGTCCAGGATGTTCTGGTGGATAGCAGTTACTTTCAATGTGACTGATATCTAAGATGAAAGGCGCGGGCGATTTTCCTTTCAAGCGGGGGCTTGGGCCTTGACGGCCAGGTTGTCGGTTGCGTGCTTTCCTGCATGAGTGACTGCCTATGCTGCCTTGTCATATTCAAACACTCCTCCTTCGCTCACGCAGTACTCACACATTTTCAGGTTTGATCCATGCTCCCAAAATCTGCATTGGGGAGAAAAATGGATCACCCTTCCTCTTGGAGTCATTCGGAGGGTTGCAAGCCTTCATTGCCACTTGATGGCTTCTCGATCTGAAATCACAGCTTGCTCACAGAAATCCTGTACATGTTCTTCCAGGTATTTCACCCTCTGTTCAAGTTCTTCTATGTACGTGTCTTTCAAAAAACATTCTTCCTGGTACTTCTGAAGCTCTGCTTCGTACTCACCAGTCGTTCCATAGTCGACTCCATATGTCACTTGGGTCTGTTTGTCCTCGCTGGACTTCCCATTGGTCATGTTGACCTCTTCTTGTTTGATCATGGCGGTCATCTTCTTCAGCATGAAGACACCAATGCCGCCGATGCCCTCAATCAAGTAGTCCCGCAACCACTTGCATAGGCTCAAGGCCCCAATCAAAGCACACCCGCACATCAATGCCCATCCAAAGTCAAAATGACTTTCAGGCTTCTCCTCTGTGCTCATGGCTGCGCTCCTCTCCATGTTGGCCAGTAAAAGCAACAAGCCAATCCTCAGATCTCGCCCTTTGCCAAGCTTCTTCACTTCTTCATCCCTTGCTTCAACTGGTAGTTGTGCTCGATCTCATGGTACTCCTGCTCACCCACACGGTCTCCCACTGCATCAACCATGTGGATCACGTACAGGAGTCCATTCAATCTCTTCTTGGCTAGGTTCTTTGCGCCAATGTCTGCACTGTTGAGCTCGGATGGGATCGCTGCCACCGTGATCACCTTCTCTTTCTCCTTCTGTTGTATCCACAGCAGCGATGCATCAAGGTGCCTCACTCTCCCGATTCCTTGTCGTTGTGTCATCCCTCTTGCAGCTGAACTGTCGCTTCGAACCTTTGTCTTGCAGCTCTGGCCGGTGATCTGATTCCATAGATGTCGAATCAGCATGCCTTCAGAACATCCTGCCACCATAGCCACAAATTCGCTCTCACCTGACGACAGCGAGATTGCTTTCTGGGTTCTCACCTTCGACTCCATCAGGTTGCCGTCCAGGAACAACTGAAATGATGTCGTTGACTTCCTGTCGTTCTTGTTCCCTGCATAGTCGGCGTCTGTCACAATCTCCAACAAATGCTCCTCTGCTTCCTCAGCTTCATCTGCCATCCTCAAATCCATCATGGATTGTCCCTTCTTTCTCTCATCAATGCGAACGCCATAGCCACTTGTTCCAAACAAGTATGAGACGACATGCCATGCGTTTGCCATTGCTTGCTTGGTGGGTTTTGACATGTGTCTTGCAAGGCACTGGATGGCGTATTGTGCATCTGGTCGTTCACCTGACATATACATGAGCCTCCCCACAATGCTCCTAAACTTCGTGACTTCTTCACCCTTCAATTCTTCTGACTCATCTCTCTTGCCAAAGTTCGAATCCAAGGGTGTCTTGCGGTAAAATCTCGAGTACAAGTCAACCTCCTTCTCGAAACTGTCGTACTGCTTCCTGTCACATCTGACATCGCAGTGATTGCTTCCGAGGTTGAACTGCCTCTTGAGGTAGTGGAATTTGCTTCCTTGTCTGAATGGTCCTTTCTCTTCCACATTCCATTTCTTGTCTTCCTTCAAGCGCTGCACGAAGTGTCGAACCTTGTCCTCTCTGCCCACAATGAAAACATCGTCTACATGCACTGTCAGGTACAGTAGATCTGGAATGAAGAGTAGCGTAGGTTGCATGAGATCTTGCTTCGTTCCATATTCGACGCAGGTCGTAGAGAACAAATGGAACCACTGAGCTGCTGCAGTGCGTTGTCCTGGCAAGCATCTAAGCAGCTTGAAGATGCGATTGTCCACCTTCACAAATGCCACCTCTGCTTCAGGTTGTGCTGCCATGAGGAATGCATCCTTCACGTCCAATGTCATGACAACAAAATCCCTTCTCACATTCAGCAGATAGTGGATGAGCATCTTGGGTAGCACCATCAATGAAGTGGGGGCAAATGTCTGTTCTATGTCAATGCTACTGCGAAACTGCCTTGCCACAAGTCTTGCCCTTCTGAACCATCCTCCTTTCTCGAGTCTGTGCTTCCAACAGTATACTTCTTTCGTGGAGATCACATATCCTCCTGAGGTCTTCGCTTCATTCTCATCAGTCTCCACCATTGCTGGAATCTCGAGCATTCGGTTCAGTTCTGTCTCTCTTGCCTCCTCATCCAAGCGTTGTAGGTGTTCTGGACTCACCTCAGGTGGGTCATCATTTTCATCGCCAGCACACTCAATGAACTCCTCCTCCAACAGTTCATCTGGAATCCATTCGATTCCAACCTCCTCATCTCCATGAGCTTCGATTCTGTTGAGTCCTGCATAGTATGGAGGGTACAGTTGATTGCTGGGAGATGCGCTTGGTGAGGCTTCCAATTGCATTCCAGGACGCGCAGCTTCCGGAGGGAGACTTGTCTCAGGTTTGTGCTTCTTCTCAGGCTCTTCCATCTCTTCCTCTGTCAATGCCCTCTCGTCTTGCATCCTCCTTGGGGAAATCGTCATGTCTTCAAGGGGTCTCTTGACTTGTACGTTCTTTGGAGAATCTTGCACCTCATCTCTTCTTGTAGCTGGAGTAGTTGGAGCTGCACTACCGATCACCGCAGGTGTCATAGGTTGTCCTTCTGCTCCTGGTGCTGGGGTGACGACTCCTGATGCTACGGCATGCGCAATCTCCTTCATCTCTTCTTCCCTGGCCTCAACCTCCAAGGTCGGTTGTCTGTACTTTTGAGCTTGTCCGGCATGTTTCATCAGGATCCCTTAAAAAGAATAGCTCCATGGGAGTCCCTTTGCCGTGAAGATGTCAACTCCACTGAAGTTCTCTGCCGTGGACAGTCTCCGTATGGTTCTGGATTCATATGCTCCATTTGGAGTCAGCACGATGTGGTTGTCATTGAATGGATGCTTTCCGACCCAAACACCTCTCTCAAATATGTTGCTGCCTTTGTATTTGACCAACCTCTTGAACATCACGCTTTCTCCGAAGATTGCCAACTTCCCGTTGTACGAATGTCCTGTGGCCAACTCAAAACTCGTCTTGTTGCAGCCATCCAGAACTCTGAACCGGTTGATCAAGAATGCAGCATGTTTGAAAGCCCATGGGAACACATGAAAGCTACCACCAATGTCAATGCGTGCTCGGTCTTCTGCAAAGCATCTGATGCATCCAGCCATCCTCCTTATTGTCTGCACTGCTCTTTCCACCTGTCCGTTGGATGCATGTTGTCCGGCTCCAGTCAACCTAATTTCTGTCTGAAGTCCCATCACGTTCCTCACTTGTTGTACTGACCTCAGTATCTGTCGAGTGGCTCGTTCACTGTCAGCTTGGATGGTGCATCTGTCTCTTGAGCTGTTCTCCAAGCTGAACCTCACCACTTCCTCTGTGACGGTCTTCAGACTTGCGCTCCCTTTTGTCGGCACTGGCACCACATGTATTGCCTTCGTGGTGGCTGATGTCATCACCAAACAAGTTCCAAATTGATCTTGTCTTTCCACCACCTTTCCTGTGCCTACATCCTCAACTCTGCTCTCCTCCTTGTCTTCATCTCCTGTGTACGTGTAGCAGAAGTCAATCTGGATGACATTCTTTCCGGCATCCTCTTTCTTGTCGGAACTCTCACGTTTATCTTCCTTGGCTCGACTGGCGACACAAGCCTGGCACCATGCTGCATAAGGCCAATGCGTGACGTTATGGATCTCTTGTTCCTCCAGGCTAGGCAACTTTGGTTGTCCGAGAGTCACTGGCCTTCTTCGCTTCTCCTCGTACAGCTTGTTCGCCACTGCCATGTGCATCCTCGTCTCCATGTACACCTTGTAGCCAATCAGCCTTTCTAACAACTTCTTCTTGCTTCCTGTGTGTGCCAACTGCCTTTCCTTACATGCCATTTGTAGTTCCTTGACTGTTGTCTTCTCAGAGTAGGTCACTTCGTCCAGCTCTACTTCATCTTTCTTCTCAGCGACAACCATCTTCTCCACGTCATGGAACATTTCTTTCCCTTCTAGCTCCTCCAACTCTTCTCGTTCATCCACTGACCAATCCGTTTGGTTGATGACGGCCTCAGTCAAAGGGTATGGCGCAATAGGCACCTCTGATCCTTCCTCCCAATAGTCCTTGAACTTGCTCGTTGAGAAGAAGGTAAGAGTCCTCTGTGGCTCATTTGTCAAGCTGATCCTTCTGAATGCTTTGTCTCCCAAAGCCATGTAATCCTCAATGTTCTCCAATTGGGTCCACATTCCATCCTTTCCTTTCACCATCGTCATGCGAGCTTTGTACATCTTCTCGATGCTGTCGGATGGATCGATCAGCTTCATGGCCACTGGATCGCTGTACACTGCAACTCCATTAATTGGGGAGTCTATGCCATCCTGGCGTCATTTCCAGATCTTTGACATATGGGCTGAGGTACCCAGTCAATGCGAATATCCTCTTCTCAACTGAACCTTCCTCGTTGAGACTCTTCGACTTCTCGTCTTGCATCTCAGCTTCCTCGTTCAGCTTCACCATGAGTATCTGAGCTTCAAATTGCAGTGAGTTCCTACTTGTGTTCAAAGGAATGTCAACTTCCCTTGTCTCACGCCTCAAATGCAAACTTCCGTCCACACTGCTAAGGCTCCATCCTCTCTTCAGCAACTTTCCTGCACACAAAATGGGATGTTGAACGTTTCCAAGGACGAACTCTTCGACCAGCTCTCCTTTCCTGTCTTGTCTCGAACACAAACCCGTGCTCGAGTGATGCCATCATGCGCTATCTTTCTGCCTTGAGCGTCAACCATCCTCAGCTCTTCCCTCTCTTGCTGCCTCTCGCCTGTCCCAGCATAGCATCTAGGCAGGACAGAGACATCTGCTCCACTGTCGAGTGTCACCATGCACTCTTCCTCACACCCAATCTTCTGGACGCGAACCATCTTCACCATCACATCCTCTTCATCCTGAAGATCCATAGCCACTATAGCCACGTTCTCAGGAACCTCTACTGCTGGCTCAACGCACTCCATGTAAGCATCTTCAACCTCATAGTGCTCCTCAATGTCATAGAACACCTCTTCCTCCACCAGTTCGACCATCCCCACACGCCAAGGGTGCTGAATCTCACTCTCTCCTCTTGGTGTGGTCAGATCAAAAATCTCTAGGGAGTTTGCGTCTGGTGGAGTTTCCAACCTCACCATCTTGACCGAAGTCTGATGCCCAGTGCTGCTTGTCTGTCCGGGTCCAGCCTGTCCTGTCGACGATGAACTGGCCCCTCCAGCATTGATGCTCACGTTGTCCTCGATCTGGTTGACTCTCTTCCAACATTCACGGGCAAAATGCCCAACTTTTCCACATAGATGGCATGCGTTGCTCTGCTTGCCTCCTTTTGAGCCTTTGTCGGAGTTCTTTCCTTTCTTGCCAGGGCCTTTGTCCCACATGGATTTGCCCTTGTCATGGCCTTTCCATGAGCCTTTGCCATCCTTCTTGCCTTTATCTTTGCCCTTCTCTTTTCCTTTAGCATCTTTTCCTTTTATGCTTTTCCTCCTTTCTTCCCCTTGGACTTGCCGATGTAGTCGACCTCCATGGGTGTATAGTCATCTCCTGTGACTCGGGTAGGCAGCATCAATGAGTTTGCACTGTCCCATTTCGTGGTGACCGCCTCCAACTGGATGATACGGTCCTTCAACTGCTCATACGTTGTGGTATTGGTGAGCCACATCTGGAGATGCTGTCGAATTTGGGAAGGACAAGCAAGAAGTACAGCTGCAACTTTGGCATCATCACTGTATTGCTGACCTGAAATCCTCTCATACTCACAAATCAGGGCCTCAAATTGCGGCAATTGCTCAGAAACAGTCTTGCCATCAGCGAACTGAATCCTCGACAATTGGCTTAGCAAAGCCAGAGACCTCGCTCGTGTTGCAGGTTGCATCTCCTTGATGAGGACCTGCCATGCTTGGAAACCGTTCTCATTCTTCACATGCCTGATCAGCTTCAAAGGTCGTAACCTCAAGAAAGAGGTCAAGAGGCTGTAAAGGCGGATCGCCTTGGCTTTGGTCTCATCTGTCATGTCTCCAAGGCTGTAATCTGCTTCGATGTTCTCCTCAACCATGTCCATGCTCTGTGCCATGGATGGGTCCAAGCCTTTCACATAGTTCATAAATGAGAACTTCCAGTCGCTCCATCCCTTCAGCTCTGCATCTCTGCTGTCAGGTTTGAACACGTCTGGACTCTTCAGGTGTCTTGCCCAGCCTTGATTCTGCTGGCTGAGGGTAAGCCTTTCCAAGGCTGTTGCAACGAGTCTCAAACTCTCCTCGGCCATGTTCTTCCAACCTCTCACGTCCGGGTAGAAGGTCTTTGAGGTCAATGAAACAAAAGGTTCCTCCTTTCCAAAGATCAACCCTGAGTAGACCAGCTGTTCCCAGAAATGCCAGTTGTACACTAGCTCACCTAGGACTTCTCATGGTTCTGTATCTTCTCTCAACTCCTCAATCCGTCCCAAGAACTTCCACTTGGCAGGGACCACAACAATCACCTCCTTCTGCACTGAAGTGTTCTTCTTCTTTGCCAAGGTCACTGATGCCCTGACTGCTTTCGCTCCTCTCACCCACCTTATCCGTGCCTTGAACTCTGTGGTCTCGATGTTCAGCACGTGGATGTAGCGAAACCTCACCTTCTCAGTGCTGGGAGTGATGTTGTTGGAGTGGAAATACTGGATCTCCTGGAGTGTGGCCGATCCAGCTCCACCTGCAAGGCCTGCTAGGATCAGCAACTCCAGCAGCCAAATCGCGGATGTCGAGGGCCCTTCCCTGGATCGTCTCCTGGTGCTCGATCTCTTCAACCTCGTCGTGGTGTCGTATGTAACGGAGCTCGGCCCTTACGACCAGAGCTCCGCTACCATGAAAGGCGCGGGCGATTTTCCTTTCAAGTGGGGGCTTGGGCCTTGACGGCCAGGTTGTCGGTTGCGTGCTTTCCTGCATGAGTGACTGCCTATGCTGCCTTGTCATATTCAAACATAAGAGGTATGCGTGTAGAGCTTGACGAGCCTAGGGCCTACGCAGTTCTGTCGGGCAGGCTCGATCGCAACCCTCACCCTCTTCACCCTCTGGCTGCGTCTGGACACTCGGAAGACACCCGGCATACCTCTGGCGTCCTCTGGCACTTCGCACCTCTTGGGGAAATGTGAGCCTCCAAAACACCCCCGCCCACGCCAGTCGATGTGGGCCTCCGACCCCCCGCCCACGTCCCTTCGACACGTTCGGATCCAAAAAAACCCTTTCCACGCCTTCTCGGACTTCGAGTCCGGGCTGTTCTCGGCCCGCAAGACCCGCAGGCTGCTTTCGCTCTTGGGCGCCGGCAGCGTGGGCGACTCAGATGCCCGGTTGTCCTCCGTGGCGCGGGCGTGGCGTGAGTGTGTGTGTGTGTGGGTGTGCCCGTGATGGTCCTTTTCAAGGCGAGCGTTGGATTGACAAAAGAAAGTTTGAGGACACTTTGGAGTGGTGAAGTAAGAGCGTGTGAACCTTCCTGATAAAAGAGGGTTTTCTGAAGTCTACCTCCCAACAGCCGCACTCAGCAGCCATTATGGCAAAATGTGGCAACTCTCAAATCTTCACACGGCTTGAACAAACCAATGCGCTTGCCAGGCAAGGAAGCACCAAGCCTTGAAACCCAGTTGTTAACTCAGCCTCGAGTTACTCGAGTCCCGGTTGGAGCCTCGGACTCGATCGTGGACAAGCACAGTAGCACGCTCCGCATGAACTCGGCGATGCGCTCGATGAGCTGCTCGGTGTTGTCGAAGAGGGAGATCCTCTTCACACGCGGAGCGTGGAGCGTGGAGCATCGTCGCGTGAGTTCCACAGCACGGTCACCCGGACCACACGCGGCCGCGGTGAGTTCCACATCTTAGTCTTTTTGGAGTCGAAACCGGCCCGCTGGAATCTGCATGCGGTTGTATGATCAGGAATGTTCCGAATCGAATCAGGAATCGGAAACGCTACCAACAAGGAACCGAACCGCTGCCAAATCGCCACCGAAACGAACCGCTCGAATCGAACCATGAATCGAAATTTAAGGAATCGAAAACGAAGGAATCGAATCGCTCTCGAACCGGCTGTGGGATGACTGATAGTGTGTGCGTGCCCTCCCAAGCCGATGGTTCCGACGCTATGACGATCCGGTGGATCAAGGCACAACCCGTGATGTGACAGAAGCAGGAAAAAAGGCAGCCAAAATGCGTGGCCGATATTTGATGCGTTTTTGTCGCCGCCACCACCACCCCACAAAAAAGCGCTCCCACCAAAAAACTATCACCAAAAAGCTCCAAATTTCATCGAAATTTGGAGCTTTTGCGCCCGCCACCACCGGCGCCAAGATTCTGGTCGATGCTTGGGTTTTTTGTCTTTTTTAAAAGAACCCACGAAGGCAGGAGAAGCAATTGAGCCCACGACCTTCGCATACGAACGCCGAATCCTTATCCATTAGGCCACAGAATGCTGTGACTGAACTGCCAAGGTTGCTTTTCGGTTGCGCCTTTGGAGCTTGTTTTCCCTTACAGCTAAAAAGCTCTCATCCAAAAGCCCCAAATTTCATTGAAATTTGGAGCTTTTGGGGCCGCCGCCAAAAAGCTCCAAACTTCATCGAAACTTGGAGCTTTTGCGACCGCCACCAAATTTGGAGCTTTTGCGACCACCACCAAAAAGCTTTAAATTTCATTGAAATTTGGAGCTTTTGCGACCGCCACCAAAAAGCTCTAAATTTCATTGAAACTTGGAGCTTTTGCGACCGCCACCAAAAAGCTACAAGTTTCATTGAAATTTGGAGCTTTTGCGACCGCCACCAGAAAAGCTCCAAATTTCATTGAAAATTGGAGCTTTTGCGACATTTTGCGACCGCCACCAAAAAGCTCCAAATTTCACTGAAATTTGGAGCTTTTGCGACCGCCACTTGCGACCGCCTTTGGAAAGCTCCAAATTTCATTGAAATTTGGAGCTTTTGCGACCGCCCGCCGCCAGAAAAGCACCAAATATTGATCAAATTTGGAGCTTTGTGGCCACGTTGCAACCTCGGTTTTCGTTCCACCGCCGCTACCACGGTGAGTTTGGCCATATTTAGACTGCCATGCCTACCTCAGTTTTCGTGCTAGCGTAGCCTTGCCTTTGGGCTGAGATGCATTGAGGGCTTGTAGAGACAATCACCACTTGTAAGCCTTACAAGACTTAAATCCAACACTTTTGGATTCCATGTCCCACTAGGATTGCAGCGTTGAAGATTCCCTCTAATCCGCGCAGGTCCCAAAGAATAATCCGTAACCGCGTAATCTTCAATCCGTGCAATCCTAGGGGGATTAGATAGGATCAAGCCAGTCTGCTTTCATTGTTTGGAAAGGGTTCAGTCTGAACCTGCAGTGAACTGTTTAGAGTGTCTTAGAATCAAGTTTCTTAGGATGTGTGGTTCCGACGAAACGAAACGAAACGAAACGAACCGAACCGAACCGAACCGGACCACGAACCGAATCGGTTCGAACCGAAACCAAATCCTAGGAAACCAATTCTTTAAATAAGGAACCGAACCGACTAACTGACGATCGAATCGAACCCGCCCTGTATGATGTGGTATGCGTGTTGGGGGATTTTCAATCAGAAATCCCGATCGAGCCTTCCAGGAGGTCCTCTGCTGTGTGGGCTTAATCTTGCGGCTATTTTCACCACCCTTTTCACGCACCTCCCGGCCTTTCCGCGGCTTTCTTGGTCTCACTGGCCACACTAAGCCCGGAGCTTGGATCCCAGGAGGGCAGGTGTGGTGAACATAGGCGCCACATGGGCACCTTACATCGCGTCCCGGTGCGCTAGCGGCGGATGAGAAGACGCAGCGCCGAACCCAGCCGTAGTAGTGGTGGTACTGGTGGTGGCGGCGGCTCTTGTTCATTGTGCTGTTGTTGCTCTTGTTCTTGTTCTTCTTCTTCTTCTTCTTCTTCTTCTTCCCCTGCTTCTGCTTCTGCTTCTTCTTCCTTCTTTGTCTTCTTGCTGCTCTTTTTCTTGTCCTGTGTTGGAGTTTCTCCAGTGTGGACTGAAACACACTGAGCTTCTTTTACATAGCCCTTTTGTGCAAATTACATTCCCACATAACGGCAACCCTTTTCGCTTAAATATGCTCAAATTGTCGTTTGTACAGGGGTGGAGCCAAGATCGCCCTTGAGATTTTGAGATTTGAGCCAAGAGTTGTGGGAGGGTCTGCCAAAAAAGGCAAGAGTATGTGTATGAAATGCATATCTTTTGCCAAAAATGTACTGCTCTGTAGGACTTGTGATTTGGGGATGTCTAGGCTAGTTCAACTGCTTTTGGGTTTTCACATTCACGTATCCATTTTGGTTTATAATATCTAACAGATTGTTGCATCCAAAGAACTGATGTATTCTCAATAATGTCCCCGATCAACCTATGGCACATCACAAAACCATCTTTCGCGCCTGCTCCCACTTGAAGACCACGACCAAGCCAGGGCGTTCTGGGCAGGAGCACTGCAAGAGTTGCTCTCTGAACGAATGCGTGCATGGCGGCCCTTCATCTCCAGTGGTTGCTAGGGGCGAACAGCTGGCTGAGCCGTGCCTTGGGCAAGGGACTTGGGGTAGAAGGATGTAGAAGGAGAGCTCTGAAACTGAAAAAGCCAAGGATGGTGGTGGGTCTGAAGCATTCGCTCAAAAGACGGAGATGCTTGCACCTTGGGACCCATTTCCAAGTGGCTTCTCATCCATGTGTCTCCACGGAATCTCTTTTGGATTCATCCACAAACAATCCAGCGCCGAAGCCAGACTACTGGCCAAACCATCGCGCACACACAGAGAGAAAGACACACTCTGACACTTGTATTCAGTGAACTCAGTTACCACGTTGGGAAGGATGGCGGTGGAACAGCATGGCGAAAAGTCCGAGAAACTTGTAGGTGTTTGAACAAAAGTTGTTTCCCTTGACTGCGGTGACGAAGCGGCTGAAGCTGCAGCGCTGCTGGGGAGGAAAAGGTTTAGGGGGAAGTATCGTGGAACCACCATGGAAGCAAACAAGAGAGATTGGAACAGCGTGGTTAAAAGTTCAAAGTCGCAGGTACGCCAGACTGATCAGGTCTGGTTTCACTGCCAATTGCAAGCGTCTTCGTTGGCAGGAGACTTGCAATGGCACTCCTGCCCCCTGCTTGTGGAGAAATGGTGGTGGAAAACCCTTTGTCCAGGGTGGGACACACACAGATCGCCGCATTCGGCGCTTTTTCAAAAACCGGTGGCAGGCGTGGTAGTTATGCCCCTTTTGGACATATAAGTTCACGAGTTCAGCCGCAGCAAGGTCAGCGCTGGAGGGTGGAAATGTGTATTTGCGAATGGTGTGAAGTCGTGATTGGAGGCCTGATAGAGCCAAGCGCTGGCTCCCGGCAGTGGTGGAATCCCGGATTTTCCAGGGTTGAGAAGGTTGCATGTAGGTGATGGTGCGTTGTGGGAGGTCGATGTTGAAACCGAGGAGATGAAAGTCCTCCACCGGCTCGAGTTCCACTGGGTCGCCAAAGAAATTGTGGTGGATGAGGGTTTGGATAGCCGGGTGTTGAAGGAAATGTTCGTTGTGGACAATGAAGCGGTTGTCGACATAGCGATAGTAAGTAAAATGGAGGTCCGTATGTTGAAGTAGGTTGTTGTGGATCTGATGCCAGGAATGCTCAATGAGGGTGATGGCAACGTTGCATAGGGCTGGAGAGAGCTGGGATCCAATCCCGGCCCCTCGGATTTGTTTGTAAGTATTGTTGCAAGCCCGGAAAATGCATGTGTTGAGGGCAAAAGCCACGATGGTGGTAATGTCGGAAGTCTGGATGGTGCGTTGGGTGGGGTGTTTCTGATGGTGTCGGCCAATGTGTGAGTGGTGGAAGGGATTGCCGGTGGCCTGGACATCCACCGTTAAGGTGTGTGTGGATTGCTGTTGCTGCCAGTGGTGGACGAGGGAATGAACTGCGTCGATGAGTCGGTGCTGGGGAACGGAGTTGAAAAAGCCGACCAGGTCATCGTTGGTGGCGTGTAGTGAGATGTCTGGTGGGGTTTGGGTGAGGTAACTGTGAAAGTGGTGCCAAAGCTGGGGAATGGACATTTGGCCTGGATGTTGAGGGTAGAGGTGTTGGAGGATGATGTCAAGGGCACGGCTGGTGATGCGTAGCAGGTTGCCACTGAGTGATTGGAAGTATGAAATGATTGTACGGCCTTTTTGCCAGCGCTTCTTCTCCTTGAGGTGGACAACCCCGTAGGGGATGTTGAAGTCTTTGCGGAAGCCCCACTTGTAGCGAGTGCGCAGGATGGGGGGGGACAGTGGCGGCCAGGTGGTCGTGGATGTTGGCGGCAGTGATGTAGGGAAGTGGTTCGAAAAGTTCGGGGGATTGCCAGGTGTTCAAGGCGCCGGTGAAATATTGGCGAGGGCAAAACAACCGGAGTTGTTGGAGCTCATGATCAGCATGGTGGAGCAATGTGTGTTTGCCCAAATGTTCTTGGAGTTGGCGAAGCAGGCGAGCCGTAAAGCGGGGTTGTTGTTTGAGGTGTATGTTGTGGAGGCGCCATTGGTGCTCAAGGAAAGGCTGTAGGTGTTGAACTAGGGATGGTGGAAGCCCCTGTAGTTTGAGCCATTTGGTATAGGCCGTCTTGAAAATGAGGAAATAACGAGCCTTGCTTGGGTAATAGGTACTGTTCATATTGGCGTTGAGGAAAATGCTGAGGTGTGTAGGGAGTTGGAGTTGATCAAGTGTGAGGATGTAATGGCCGTCGACGGTAGGGGTCTCTGGATCCTGCAGGAGGGTGCGAAGGTGATCGCATGCACAGGGGAGGTCTGCGGGATCTGGCGGGGAGTGGAGGGTGTCCTCCCATGTGCGGTGGTTGTGTAGGTGGGAGCGGAGGGTTTTGTGGGCGGCTTCCCTCAGTCTGTGTGAGGGGAGGTGGAGGGGTATGGTGAAATGCTTGTGCTGCTGGATGGTGGTGCGGAGCCATTGTTGGCAGTGCTTGGGAAAGTCGTCATGGGCCAAGAAGGGCACTGTCAATGGGATGTTTGGCTTTGGTGGCGTGAGATTGCGGTAGAGCAAGGCTTTGTTGAGAATGTGAAGAGCTCGGCTGCGGCCAGGTTCTTCCAAATTCGCGGCCATACGCCGTATTGCATACACCTCGAGGTCTGTGTGGCGGCCGCTTCTTAGCTGCTTTGCTGCCTCAAAAGAGGCTGCGGTGTGTTTGGTGAGGTTGCGGAGGATTTGGAGGGCGTGATGCTTCGTGGAAGTGTAGAGGTGTGGTTCTCTGAGGGTGTACTGGCGTTGTCGAAGGCGTCGGAAAAGTCGTTTGTGAGTGGCTAGTCTGGAGTAGAAGTGGGCTCTGTGCTTCGCAAACTGCCATCCCTGAGCTTTGAGTTTGAGGTGGTGGGAAATGAAAGGCCAGTTGAGTGAAGGCATCCAGTTGGCGATGTAGTGGTGCTCTTGGATCCAGGCTTGGTCGTATGTATCATGGGAGGTGAGTTGGATAGTGGTGTAGTGGTGGATGTTGTTGTGGGAATGCCAATAACGTAAAGAGAGTTCTGCAGAAATGGGAATGTTGTTTTGAAGTTGTTTGAGTTTGGCGCGGCGATTGTGTTCACGGTGGGGGATGCCGATAGCTGTGGAGCCAACGTAGAAGTGGCCGTGTTGGTGGTAGCAGCGTTGGGGTTGGTCGGGATTGAAGTGGAGCTTGATGTAGACGGAATTGGAAGAGAGGAAGTTGTGGTAGTGGTAGGTGTGTGGTAAAATGTGGAGCTGGCGGAGGCGGTTGCGCCATTGTTGTGAGCGACGGGTGTTGGAGGGGTATGCGAAAAGTAGTGTGATATGGATGAGGCCGGTTGTAAAGATGGCCTCGGCGCGGTCAATGTATTGGGTGCGGTGGATGAGCATGGAAAGTGTGCGGTGCAGGTGGAAGAGTTGGGTGAGGTTGGTGAGGCTGGGTTGCTGCTGGGCCACGATGGCGAGTCAGCAACCAATGGCTGCTCCGACTCCCACCAGCTGTTGTAGTCTGCGGATGGGGAGTCGATTGACTCGGTTGAGGGGTAGGCCATATTTGGTGGCTGCCTCTTTTAGCTGCTGCGTGGTGACCTTGCTTGTTTGCAGCAGTCGGATAACGTCCGTCGCAGCTTCTTGGATGGTGGGGTCGAAGGTAGTGACCCATTGTTGGATCTCTGGGTAGTTCCAGCCTTCGGGGATGTCGTCTTGCAGAGTGGGGTGTGGTGGTTGCAAGACGTCGGTGATGGCTGGTGGTTTCGGTGGTGGTGGCGTGGGTGCGTGAGAAGGGGCGGCTGGTGCGGAAGATCGGCTGGTGTTCTTGACTGGTGTGAGTGGGTTGCCCAGGTCCTGGAGTTTCTGACGTGCACGAGCCAGTTCGTCGTTGGTGGTCTTGAGGGCGCGTAGGGCGGAGCCTTCCGCAGGTGCTGGGGAGTGGGTTTGCAGTTGGTCGATAAGCAGTTTGATGAGGGGAGCGTGAAAAGCTCGGGCATGGGTAGTTTTGTTTGGAACGTCTGTGCTCTGTTGTGTGTGAAGAGCCTCCGCGATGCCGTCAAGGTCAAGGCGGTGCTCGCGGAGTTGTTGGAGAAAAAGGGTCACGAAGACCGACTCCGCTATGCTTCTGGTGGCAATGAAACCTGTAAATTTGCCGTTGCTCAGTGTACGGGCGGTGAACTCGGAGGTACCGTGGTAGGCCAATTGCCACGGGAAGACCTCAAATGTGGGGAGGCCGGCCACTCCTGCTTTGCGAGACCACTGGGTGGGTTGGATTGTACGATGTAGTTGGTGGCCGTGCAGGGTGTTGGAGTCCCAATGTTGCTCGGTGGGGTTCCAGGAGTCGGGAACAGGTGGTGTGGGAGATGGGATGTGTGGGGGCGGTGGGGCGGGCGCTGTGGTGCCACGTGTGGTAGGTGGTGGCGGGGGGCTGTGTTTGAAGGTCGAGGGTGGTGGAGTGACAGGTTCGGCCGTGGGCAGGGGTGGCGGCGGCGGAGGTGGAAACTCTGGCTGGGAGTTGGGTGCCTGGGGTGGGGGTGTTTGCTGCGATGGCGGTGTGTACGGTGGAGTCACATAAGGGTTGGAGTGGTGGACGTGGTGTGTGCGAAGTGCGTGAGTGAGTGGGCCGTAGGTGCCTGTGGGGCTGTAGGTGTGGTGGGCGGTGGTGGGAGGAGAAGTTGTGGTATCTGGGTTGGTGAGCTGCTGATGGTGTTGCTGCATCAAGTAATGATTCCAGTAGTATTGCTGCCACTGCGCGTCCATGGTGGCTGAGCGAAGTATCACTGGAGCGTGGGCGTGGATCACCGGTTGTTGATTTGAGCAAGCTGAAAATGTAAAAACAGGTGCAAGACAGTCAATTGGGGGAGCAATGGTGGCGTTAAAGCAGTCATGCTGCCGGAAAACCGGTGTCAAAGAGAAAAACTCGAAAGACCGCTGAAAACACAGGAAAACCGGAAAAACCCAAAAGGCGCCTGTGTGGGTGCGAACAAAATATTGAGAATCATATTGAAAATCAGACTGTCCACGGAAACGCGCTGTTTTTCGTTGTGCAAGGTGAAACTGAAAGTGGTTGTCTGCGGAACAAGCT